CTATCTATTTAAGTCTCAGGTACAGATGATTAACTTTATTCTGTATGATAATATTCATTTCCTATTAAGCTATAGACATAACTATATGCAGTTTTTAAAAAAAGCAGCTTTGCAATAGTTTCAGATAAACATTAATGATCTACAGAAGACTCCTGAACAGAGTGGGAAACTAAACTTGATGACACTTAGGGTTCTTTCTAACTTTGTAAACCTGCTACAGATCTGCAGAGCACTGCTTTTCCATGTATCCTTTCCTCTCCATCACCATGAAGACACAGATGCTTACCTTTTCAGGGTATAGAAATTAATAACAAAATGCTCCCCCAAGAGCATCAAAACTACAGGATTCTCACCACGTCAGCCTTAGCACTTTTCCTCTATGAATGTGAGAATGTAACTTCCAAACATTTTTTAAAACATAAAGATAACGAGGATGTCCCTGGCAGTCCAAGGTTAAGAGTCTGCTTTTCCAATGCAGGGGATGTGAGTTCGATCCCTAGTCAGGGAACTAAAATTTCACATGCCAAGTGACATAGCCAAAATTTTTTTTTAAATAAAAACAACAGTCACTGGTTGTCATTTCTCCTGACAAGTAAAAACACATATTTATATTAAACCTGAAATCAATATAATTTTGAAACTTACATTGCCTAAATGTAAAGTTGGTAGTAAGAATTATTCTTGTTTTACTGATGGAAAACTCTTCAAGATTTTTTTTAAAGGTAAGATTACTAATACAACTAAGTTAATAGAGTTAGGAATAGATATGTACAGTACTATGAGTTTTTTTTTCCTCCCTTTGTTCTTTGATGGATTAAAAATAGTAACAGAATCCCTGTAAACGTGGATGGAAAATATGTCAAAGAACAGTCAGCTCTGCAGAACAAGTTTCTATGGAGTTAAGTCTATAAATTATGATGGCACTGCAGGCAGACTGCAGAAGCAGAGACCAGGATACTCTCCCACCTAGGAAAAAAAAAAAGAAAAAACAGGGACAAAACACATGAAATAACAGTTTTCAAGACACAGGATATTAGGTAATGAAGAGGACAGTGATCCCTACCAGATGAGAAACTAACAAGATGAACCTTACATTTGCCCTAGCTTACTGCCAGCAAATGCCAATTTACTGCCTGCTGCTCAGGGAAGGGGAGGGACTGTGGTGGAGCCCAACAGATACTCTGAGAGAAGGAGAAAGAACTGAGAATCTGGAAAGGCTTGCAGCTTTACACTAAGCCTCTCAGTGTAGCTTAGAAAATAAGCAAATTGCACTTAGCACATTCTTCTTCCTTCACACACAGACTCTATCAGAAATCCTCTGGCCTTTACATATGTTGTATTCTGATTCTTTACTAAGATTATTTTAATATGTCTAATTTATCATTATACTATCTATGTCTGATTCTACAAAGTATGATGAAGAATATATTAAGTTGCATCCTGTGAATTGTTCCCATTAGCCAAATAAGTAGCTGGGTTCATCCTGTAAAGCACAGGTGTGCATGCTATATGGTCTATTCACTTCCTGAATTGGACATTCTGGACATACATTCTGCATGAGCAGAAGCTGGTAGGTGACTTACAAAGGTCACCCTCACACACATCAATATTATATTCCAGCAAAGAGTTTGCAACACATGACCAAAATTCAGAGGAGGAAAATATATTTACCCCCACATTACGTGTCAGCTGCTAGTTTTTATAGGGATATTAATTTAACACCTATTTGTCATGGTTGAGTCATACTGAGTCAAAATAGCCAGTCAAGTCACTCAGTCACCAGATTCATGCTGTGGCGCAGGCAGGACTGGATCCCACCCAGGCAGCCCTGCAGCAGAGTCCGACCCAGAAGCAGACTGGCTGATACTACCTCTGAGGGTCTCAGTGGCTTAGCTGGTGGAATGACCCAGACCATTGTCCCCCAAGGATCTAGTCACCATACCCTTCCCGGGCTGGGGTGCTCTGCCTTGTCTATTTACAATCCTAAGTGGGCCAAGGAATACCTAGAAAATTCAAGCAAATCCTCTAGATTTCACGCAAACTCCTGTCCCCATCACACTGGGAGATTGGGACTGACATATATACGCTATTGATACCATGCATAAAATAGATAACTATTGAGAACACACCGTATAGCACAGCAGACTCCACTCAATGCTGTGGTGACCTGTGTTGTTCAGTGGCTGAGTTGTGTCCGACTCTTTGAGAACCCATGGATTGGGGTCATCAGATCCCCAGTCACTAAGACAGGACGCAAGATGTTCCCCAGTGAATCCAGGAAAGAGGACAATTCCTGCTTCCGCGTTTGGTTCCCATGGTGTTTGGCCAGGGCTGCTGTAACAAATGACCACAAACTCGGGGGCTTAAAACAACAGAAATGCATTCTCTCACAGTCCAGGCGGCCAGAAGCCAGAAATCAAGGTGTTGGCGGTGTTCCTTCTGGAGGCCCTCGGCATGAACCTGCTCCAAGCTTCTGACTTCCAGTGGCTGCCAGCAATTCTCAGCATTCCTTAGCTTGTAGCTCAGTCTCTGCCTCCATCTTCACGTGGCCTTCTTCCTGGTATATCTGTGTGATCTCTCCCACCTTGGTCCTCTTTACCATAACTGTGACCCCGCTGACTTTCAGCAAATAGGTACTGCCACAAGCCACTACTTCTGGGTCTTATCACCCACTGCCATCAGCAAGCTAAGTTTTCCAGTTGGTGTTGTTGAGTCCCTAAGTCGTGTCTGCCTCTTTGCGATCCCATAGACTACAGCACGCCAGTCTTCCCTGTCCTTCACTATCTCCCAGAGTTTGCTCAAACCCGTGTCCATTGAGCCAGTGATGCCATCCAACAATCTCACTCTCTGTCACCCCCTTCTCTTCCTGCCCTCAATCTTCCCCAGCATCTAATCAATCGGCTCTTCACATCAGGTGGCCAAAGTATTGGAGCTTCAGCTTCAGCATCAGTCCTTCCAATGAATATTCAGGATTGATTTCCTTTACAATAGTTTGTTTCCATTGTTAGATGTAGCCTCCAGAGTTACCACTAACTTTTTAGGGGCCCTTGTGCCCCTATCAGCCCATGTCTTTATGGCCTTTCTATGGAACATAATCATTCAAAGATAAACCTATCCATTCTGGCATATCGGTTCCTCAGTCTTTTCATCCTTTCCACCACCAGTGGCCACTCAACTTTGTTCAGAATTGGCCATTGCTTTTTCCATGTTTCTAGAAGCCACCCTAATAGTGAGTTCACATCTCCTGGGATCCTAACCAGGATGTCAAATCCTATTCAGATAGCTTATTTTTCAACCCAAAGACCCAATGTGGGTGCTATTATCGAGTTCTCCCCTTCCTAGTCAATACCTTCAGCTAGCAGTCCCAAACATTCTCCTAATTCACCCAACACATACAGGCCAATTCTTGCAGCTCTGTTGGGGCACGGTCTGTCCCCTGTCTCATCAGGCCCAGCCTCTTGCTGGCTGAGTTTTTCTTAACCCTAATTACAGCTGCTCACCCTCATTCTAGGTCTTGTAGCAAGGACACAAAGCAAGTCCTGAAGTGGGGACAGGTTGCCTGGGGAAAGAGACCTGTGCATTCCCACCCAGCTTGGGGTTAGGGCTGCCTGCTCTTAACAGAGAAGTGGGCTGTGACTGCAGGCTCACGAAGCTCAGGAATCTAGTGAGGACAAGCCTTCAGCAGCATTCACTCAGATGTCGCTATCTCACTTGTCAGAGGCCTCAATTTTCCCAGTCCTTTGACCTTTGCAAAACAGACTGCCTTGATTGACAGCTGTCTTTTGAAGTTTATCCATTCAGACTACTGCGTCCTGGTTTGGTCCTCAGCGTTCTCAGTTCTCCTGCTGCAAGAGATGGGAGCTTTTCTGAATGCATCTAGAGGATCTCTGGCTTGCCACGCCTGGTTTTCTAGTGCCTGTTATTGCCCTCAGCTGTTCGTTACATTTCTATGGAGTAACAATGGCTCAGTGATAGCCATCTGACTCTGTTATCCTCAAGGCTACAATTTTCTCCATATTGTCAAATGCCAGCCAGTCCAATATTGCATTTGTTTCTACCACACCATCCCAAGGCATCATCAGTGTAAACTGCAACCACTGGAACTTGTGCCAGCAACCATTCTCCACCCACCATGAATGACAGGGTCCAGCCAAATCACTCAGTGTCCACCACACGCTATTCATTTCTGATACCTATCTCACATATTAGATAAAAAATGAGTTTATACAAAAATTCCAGAATGCTTTCCAAAATAGGTTTAAAATAGTGTGAATAAGAAATTAAATGTCAAAAGTATATAAGTGAGATACTAGATTTATTCAAAGAGAAATCAAATTTGCTAGGTAAAACAGCTGTGTGATAATACTGGTTCTGTGTCTCTGAAAAATGGCTATATGGTCACCTTTGTCCATACATTTACATAAATAACAGGTATTGTTCAGGACACACACTGTGAAGAAAGAACTGAATGAGTCAATGGCTGAAACATACATATAATGACTTAAGATAACATGACTATTTAATGAAAATTTAGCATATAACATCTGACTTTTATCCTATGGACAAACAAGAAAAAATACAATAATTCATTTTACCCATTACATTTTACAAAATCAGACAAAATGATTTTATAAGCAGCTTTTTTAATAAAAACAGCAATTTCATTTCAAACAAATATATTATCATCCTATTCCTTTATCCTATATATGTATTTAATTGGCAAACCTACTAGATTACAGAAATCAGTAAAAATCCAACCCATGATGCTTCAATTGCTTAAATCAATCATATTACATTTGAAATTCATTTTTCTTAGGTTAGAAGCCTGATTATCAGTTCCTATTAAAATCCTATTAATTACTCCTTGTCCCAGTAAATGTGACTAGTCTCTGCACAAGGCTAAGTAACAATGTGTATAATACTTTTGAACATCCACACGATTCATCAAGCACACACATCCCAGCTCCTGAGACAAGGTCATCAAAGGGCAAGCAGCTCTCCTAGTTCTCTTGTTCCTCATAGTGAGCATAGCCACTGGCATAGGTCCTTCCCAAATTCAAATTAGTAAACAAATCTGACGACTCAGCATCTGAATCTTTTCCACCTTCATCTTCTTCCTCTTCATCATCCTCTGCTTCATACTCATCTTCTTCCTCATCATGGTAGCCAGCACCAGCATACTTATCAGATGCAAGGTTTTTCCAATAGGCATCATACCCAGAAGCTCCATCTCCCTCTTCACCTCCAGTTTGCCTGCCAAATTTCAGGGAGCGTGCTACAAAACACAGATATGTACCGGCGTTTGATTAAATTCTCCAAATCCTCTACAACACATAAAATTATGTGAACCTGAGTGTCTGCTGCTTACTCTCAAATGCAAAAGTTGGTCACATTCTCCTCATTTACTCACTTAAAATTTAACTGGCAAGAAAAAAGACCTCAGGGCTTCCCTGGGGGCTTAGTGGTAAAGCATCCACTTGCCAATACAGGAGACACGGGTTTGATCCCTGACCTGGGACAATCCCACATGCCACGGAGCAACTAAGTCCATGCTCCACAAATACTGAGCCCATGTGCTGCAACTACTGAAACCCCTACTCTGCAACGAGAAGCCACTGCAATGAGAAGCCTGAGTACTGCAACTAGAGAGCAGTGCCGCTTGCTGCAAGTAGAGAAGAACCTGCACAACAATCAATAAATAAACCTTTAAAAAGAAAAAGAAAGAAGACCTCAGAAAAAACAATTGGTTCTATCCTACTCAGAGTCTACATATACATCATATAAAACAAATGATAAACATGACTGTATCATTTCATTAAATCTAGACAAAGTTGGAAAACAAAATAAGAATAGCATTTACATACATACATTAAATAAGGCACGTTAAGGTCTAAAAGGCCTTTGATTAATTAAAAGTGTATTTTCAAATTATAGAACACTTGATTTCATGTCATTATATTCTTCTCAAAAGAACTATTTTGTAATTCAGATATCCTAGAAAATAAAGCCTGTCATTTCTTCTGCCTTTCTAGCAAAACAAAGTTTAGTGCAAAAAATTATGTCTCACCCTCACTGTGTAACTGTATCTTTGATTAAACAAAGTACTGTCAGAGTCATTTAGAATTATGGTTCTGTTCTGATATGTCTGGTAAAGAGTCAAATTCTCTTTAACAAAATTGTGAGCTGCATTATTGTAACCATGTTGTAGTAGTTGCATTCCTTCATGGGAAAACTACATTAAACCATAAAACAATTTCCTACAGTAGCAATGTATAACATAATAAGCACTGCTGCTCAAACATCAGACCCCTAAGAATAGCTTCAAAATGAATTCCAACTTCCAAGTACTGAAGATTACCAGCACTTGAATATTAAGGATTTATTACTACACAAGTATTTAACAAGAAAGCCCAAGCAAAAACAGACAAATCACTCTTTTTGGTCTTAAATTTCAGTATTCACTATGTCATTAACTGAAGCAAATGCCAAATATTGAAGTGAATGATGATAAATTTCTTAAGTTAAATTGAAAAATTTTACCCACAATTTTCCAAGGCTATAAAATTCCATTTGCTTAGGAGAACACGTTCATCTTCTCAAATATGAAGAAAAGGCAAAAACAAAAATAGAAAGAGGAAAAAAAGAAACAAATCTTGTCTATGTATTAAAGCAAAATCACTCCAGTGTTATTTTAAGAAAAGCCTTACTTGACATGCTAAGATCCTTAGTTTCCTGAGTTTCATGTCCACATTTAGGGCAGGGAGGCTGTTTTCCTTTTTCTTGCTTAAACACCTTGCTCCTTGTATGATCATCACAGAAACAAGCCTATATAGGAGAAATAAAAATTAGGAAGTTAAATAAGTAATTCAAAAAACACATGACAACATCACTCAGTATGTTTCTGTTGTTCACTCGCTAAGTCGTGTCTGACTATTTGCAACCTTATGACTGCAGCCACGCCAGGCTGCCCGGTCCTCCACTATCTCTTGGAGTTTGCTCAAACTCACGTCCACTAAGTTGGTGATGCCATCCAACCATCTCATCCTGTCACCCCGTTCTCCTCTTGCCCTCAATCTCTGCCACCATGCGGGTCTTTTCCAATGGACTCAGCCCTTTGCAAAAGGTGACCAAAGTTCTAGAGCTTCAGCTTCAGCATCAGTCCTTCCAATGAATATTCAGGGTTGATTTCCTTGCTGTCCAAGAGATTCTTAAGAGTCTTCTCCAGAACCACAATTCAGTTCAGTTAGTCACTCAGTCATGTCCAACTGTAACCCTATGGACTGAAGCACACCAAGCTTCCCTGTCCATCACCAACTCCCAGAGCTGGCTCAAACTCATGTCCATCAAGTCGGTGATGACATCCAACTATCTCATCCTCTGTCGTCCCCTTCTCCTCCTACCTTCAATCTTTCCCAGCATCAGGGTCTTTTCCAGTGAGTCAGTTCTTCACATCAGGTGGCCAAAGTATTGGAGTTTTAGCTTCAACATCAGTCCTTCCAGTGAATATTCAAGACTGATTTCCTTTAGGATTGACTGGGGGTTTGATCTCCTTGCTGTCCAAGGGACTCTCAACAGTCTTCTACAACATCACAGTTCAAAAACATCAAGTCTTCAGCACTCAGCTTTCTTTCATCTCTCTCATCCATACATGACTACTGGAAAAATCATAGCTTTGACTAGACAGACCCTAGTTGGCAAAGTAATGTCTCTGCATTTTAATATGCTGTCTAGGTTGGTCGTAACTTTTCTTCCAAGGAGTAAATGTCTTTTAATTTCATGGCTGTAGTCACCATCTGCAGTGATTTTGGAGCCCAAAAAAATAAAAGTCTCTCACTCTTTCCATTATTTCCCCATATATTTGCCATGAAGTGATGGGACCAGATGCCATGATCTTAGTTTTCTGAATGTTGAGTTTTAAGCCAACATTTTCACTCTCCTCTTTCACTTTCATCAAGAGGCTCTTTAGTTCTTCACTTTCTGCCATAAGGGTGGTATCATCTGCCTATCTGAGGTTACTGATATTTTTCCCAGCAATCCTGATTCCAACTTGTGCTTCATCCAGCCCAGCATTTCTCATGATATACCCTGCATGTAAGTTAAATAAGCAGGGTGGCTTATTTAACTGTTTCCCAATTTGGAACCAGTCTGTTGCTCCATGTCTGGTTCTAAGTGTTGCTTCTTGACCTGCATACAGATTTCTCAGGAGGCAGGTCAGGTGGTCTGGTATTCCCATCTCTTGAAGAATTTTCCACAGTTTGTTGTGATCCATACAAAGGCTTTGGCGTAGTCAAAAAAGCAAAAATAGATGTTTTTCTGCAACTCTCTTTTTCTGGTACTCATGGCTGCAGTCACCATGCATAGAATCACCATGCATGGAGCAAAAAAAAATAAAGTCTGGAACTCTCTTTTTCTGGAACAATTAGAAAGCATCAATTCTTCAGTGCTCTGCCTTCTTTATGGTTCATCACTCAATATATCAAGGAAATTTAAAGATATACTTTGTTCAGGCAAAGGTAAATTTTGCTGGGACTGGTAACATTCTTGATTTCAATTCCTTAAGGGAAAGGGTCTCTGCTAGAACTCTTCTGAACTATGACCTAAACACCTGGTATAAAGTATACACAGGGTGAAACATGCAGACACATTTCTTCATAAATATGAGTATTCACAAAGACTCCGGTGACATAATGGTGAACAGCTCATCCATGCACACAGAGCACGCAGTCTAACTGGGGACACATTAGGTGGAGAGACAGTTACATGACATTATGCACTCAAAGGCCAGAGCAGAGGAGGAGTGCAAACCAGATCAGGGATTCAGGAAAGACTTCCAGGAGACGTGATGTCTTAGCCGAGATCTAAGATATGCAGAACAGGGGCGCAGCAGGGCAAGCAAGAGTGGAAGAGTGGTCTAAGGCAGAGGAAACAGCACAGACCAACTTGGAGAGGAGTTGGGAGAGAAGAGATATGACTAGGAGTATTAATAAGAACCAGAGAAATTACTCTGAGACAAAGTGAATCAGGGTGCATCTGTTCAGTGATCCTTGACAAATGGAAATGTTGGAGACAAGGTGTAAGGAAGCAGAACATTATGGAAATCTCCACTTTCCTCAAACTCTACCAAGCAAGTGCATTTTGACATAAATTAAAATATACTCCCATCATTTTGGTCAGAATGTTCTCCATAAATATAAGGTATGAAAACACTGCGCTAAGATTCAGGAGACCTGCACACTAGTGTCAAGACAACACAGGCCAACTGGATGAGTTCTGAAATGTCTCCAAGCTGTCTCAACCTCATTCACAATCTCGACAAGAAAAGAATTAAAATACATAATACTTGCAGGCATGTGTGCTAAATTGCTTCACTTGTGTCCGACTCTTTGTAACCCTACAGACTGTAGCCCACCAGGCTTCCCCATCCATGGGACCCTCCAGGCAAGAATACTGGAGTGGGTTGCCATGCTCTCCTCCAGGGGATCTCCTCAACCCAAGGATTGAACCTGCATCTCCTGCATTTCAGGAGAATTCTCTTACCACTGAGCCACCGGGCAAATCCACACATAATGTTTAAGGACCCTTATAGATTTATTACAATTAAAAATATTCTAAGGGCTGGGGGGAATATATGGGGATTAGAAACAAATCTAAAACTAAAAAATATAAAAATATACCTTACAACGGAGACAGGAATGTTGACCAAGCCGATTGCATGAAACGCCTGTGGGAGAAAGTACATGATATCAGATTCAAATTTGGAATGAAAACGTTATTTTCCACAGATTTATACTTGTACTGTCTTATCTTAGATTAACTATCAATATTTTTTTTTTGTCTCATCACTTGGAGTAAACAAAAAAACAAGATGGAATTGCCAGCCAGAGGGAAGGAAAACAGTGGTTGCACATCCCCAGCATTCTTTCACTATTACAACTCTAATTATCCTCTCATAGCCTTCCATTCCTCCAAAACTAGGAGGTGGCAAATGTCATTAGTGATATTTTAAAACCTGAAACGGTAAAACATCTTTTCTTCCCCATGACACTGGCTAGACTCTTCACTTCATGATATAATACTTCTATTTTTAAAAGAATACATCTCCATTAATATATATTATCTCCTGGTGGGATAGGCTACTGCCATTTTTTGCAAACTTTTGATATGAGAATAGAATACTTCAGGTGGAAAAGCGTGACTATGAACAGAAAATAATGTTCAAGAGGGCAGGAAAACAGATGGAAAAATCCCAAAATATTTTATCTCTATTTTAGTCAGTAAGCCACATTAATTTTGGTCATTATCTACAATTAATGCAAAAAATCCACACTTAAGTGCAAATATTTTGGAATAGCCAAAATGTCTGGCATATATTGAGTTATGTCAAAATACAGAAGACAAAAATAATTAAGAGTCCTATAGGAACAAGAAAATAAACTAAGCCTTACCCTGATACAGTGTAAACTATTAACTTTCAATTTACTCAGAGGTCTTGAAAAAAGAAAAGCAAACAAAAGAAATTTTATCTTTATAATTCAAATATTTAACCAGATATTTCTAACTTGGGGATTCTTTTACTTAAGTTTGCCTGGGTCATGGGGAGCTTTTTCAATCTGGACCAGGGAGTTACTTTTTTAAAAACTCAAGGATGATTTCTCAGTTATGTGTATTATTATTGTTTCTGTCCAACCCTCCTGCTTTCTTCCATAGTAACACCACTAACTCAGATGGATTTGTATTACTTGTCCTAAATGCTAATAGTAAAAGTAAAAATCAACTGAGTACTCACTACATGTTAGATATATATAAGCATACCAAATTACTCCTATAATAACTATATTGTTTCAGCCTGCAGAGGAAAAAGCCTGAAATCTCAATCATCTCTACTTGAAGATATGCCCAGAGTTCTTAGGTTCAGTCTTCATTCAGTCAAAAAAAGGAGTATTGTTTAGTCGCTCAGTCATGTCCAACTCTCTTGAGACCCCATGGACTGTAGCCCACCAGGCCCCCTGTCCATGGGATTTCCCAGGCAAGAATACCAGAGTGGGTTGCCCTTTCCTTCTCTAGGGGATCTTCCCAAGCCAGGGATAGAACCTCTGTCTCCTGTTTGGCAGGGGGATTCTTTACCATTGAGCCACAGGGAAGCCCCTCAAAAACACTATACACCCGTTTCAAATACAGAACCAGAACACACAGTGGAAGTACCAAGTGCCTAACCCAATCTCCCTGTGTGCCAAACACTCCTCATACACGCTCCCCCATCCCCACCAGCTGAGCTTCTGACATGCCACAAAGACACAACTCTAAGAAATCCACTGCTGTCTATCGCACCCTCACCTTCACCTCCTGGAACCCAAACCATTCTGGTGGGATGTGGCCCTGCCAGTCTTCTGCTAACTACCTCAGCCCCACACACAGGCACTTCAGTTCTCTGTCCTGTTAATTTTCCTCCCTAAGAATTAAAATCTTGAGTTTATATTAGAAAATGCGTTTCTTCTAGATTCTAAAAAATATTGTGACTTTCCTAGTTTTAGACTGGGGAATGGTTTTCTTTTTAAATCTATTTCTATGTCTAAAGAGTATTTTAAAAGAAAGCAGGTTTGGATACATCAAAGACTACTGATAATAAGCCACTTAAACTAGAGGCCCCCAGGCCATTTTCATTATTTGAAAAAATAAAGGCAGAATACACACTTGTGTGGGGATTTTTTTTCCCTCAAGACATTCTTCCTACTGGTTATGCAAGTAAAATAAGTACTTTAAAGAATTCCCATATTTTCCCATTCATAGTTATAAGTTCAAATCCAAAAATGATGAGATACGACCAGTAAGGGAGTAGAAACAAACTATCTTTGGGGCTTATGTGTATGATTAAGGCAGTATTTCAGAGCATATATTTCAAGGAGTGAATGGCAACTGGCAAAGGAAGAATGACAAAGAAAAAATAAAGCAATGAAAAAAAGTAAAGAAAGAGGATAAATTACACTAAGCCAAAGAAACCTGTGAATCTACAGTGAGAATGATGTTAATATGAGGTATCAAATGTAACAGATTTATATTAAAATCCCTTCATTATTCAGTATCTTTATTTTTCCTTTGTCTTTTACTAAATCACATCACTCAAAGTTGCCTGTCTTTGGGTTTAAATACTATAAAATACATAAAGCTCCCAAGTTTCAAATAAAATATTTTAATTTTTATATTATACATTCTACACAAGTCTAGGAACAGCTCAAAAATGCTGACTACTTTGACATGTCCCTTTAATCTTTTGAGATTTTCTTTATAAATACTGTGAGAATTACATACGTGTCTGGACATTTGTGTTAGACTGATGACTTATCAACTTTATAGACGTTACAGATGAGTGTAAGGATTAGCATTTTATAGCAGAACAAGAACCAAATTCATGAGAGTGAATCTGGAATTTCAGCCTTTCCTACAATGGTGTCTACTATTTACTTAGGGCTTTCTAAGTACCCTTAGAAAGAGTACCATCCTGATGCTTCATATGGATTCTCTTCTCAGTTAACTCTTTGAAAAAATCAGCATCTTCCTTTTAAAATATAACAAAACTAAGGTTTAGAAAGATTTGGTAATTTGCCCCAAAACATATGGTCCAAAAGTAGAAATCAAATAATACTTGAATCTAAAACTTGAGCTTTTAGAAATTAACAAGAGTAAAAATACAATGCAATTTTATCTGTAAAGATGATGCCATGAACCCATCAGCAACACTGGTTCTCAAACTGGAATATACATGAGAATTATGGCTACAGGCTAAATACAGATGCCTGGCCCCCACCACAGACTTAAAATCTCCAAGGATGAGGCTTGGGCACCTCCATTTTCTAAAAACCTCCACAAGTGTTTCTAATGCAGACTCCTAAGAGTCACTGGAACCAAAAGCAGGAACAAACTAAGGGTTGAACCACTTATTTGGGGACATCTGAAAATAGGGTGGGGGAGAGGGGCTAGTTACTATAACTTGGGAGTGAAAACACCATTTAGTACTCAGGATCAGGAATTCTACGAGCCCTGCAAGGCCTGATCAATTCCACAAAATGAACTAACCCAATTAAAATGCCACTGGTACCACTGTTGGAAAACAATGGACTATATGTATTCTGAATTTTTTCTACAAACAGAAAATAGATCCTGAATTAAATTACAGTACATAAGAGGCCACATGAAAAACCAGATTCCTTTTCCAGTAAGTTTAACACTTATACTATATTAAGAATCTTAGGTATAAAGAACATGTAACATATTAAAAACTTACATTTAAATGTTTCCGCTTCTAAAACCTGGCAGCTGGCTTGATGTTCAAACTGATCATCTTCACAAAGAAAGTTATGGCAAAAAGAACAACTGAAAATTCTGCCTCCTATTGGATTAAAGAACAAAACCCACAAATGTAAATATAATAAAGTTTAATTAAAAAATTCTCATCTATAAAACTGCTCAGAAAAGATGGCAAGTTATCACAGATGTATACCAAAATAGCACAACAACTTTTGTTCTGGTAAAAGCTACAAAGAAAACCAACTGAACCAAACAAGAGTGAACTCCCACTATGTCCTGGCTCTGAATATAATACATGAAAGGCTAAGAGACACTTCCTCTCTGGTACTAACTCCCCTCCCTACCTGCCTCGGTAGACAATCCTAGCACTGCCTCTTAATGTTGCTATGCATAAATCCTTTGTCCAACTAAAGTTTACCTGGTCCCCAACCATTCTGGCACCAGGCACAGGTTTGGGGATGCAGGGGGATGGTTTCAGGATGATTCAAGCACATTTCATTTATTGTGTGCTTTATTTCTAATCTCAAGCTCCTGATCTGACAGGAGGTACCAGTCTGTGGCTCAGAGGTTGGGGATCCCTGAACTCAACTGATAATGGAAATCGTGCCAATACTTAGGATTGATAGTATCCTGTTAAAAAAAAAAAATCATGAACAAGAGCATCTAGAATGTTTCATGGTCATCCTTGACTTCCAGCAAAGCTCATCACTTATATGTAACCACTCACCGTGGTCCCACACACCCCGTTCACATTCCACACACTCAGCATCGGTAAGCGGGCAGGCACAGGCGTGCGTGCTGAGACATTTCCTCCCATGACAGACCCAAGCTTCACAGAAGTCACATATTGCACCCTGCAACCAAAGAACACAAAAAATTAATCTTTGCCACCGGACTGGCTACAACCATTGTTTAACCAAAGGCTACCACCAAAATTATATGCATTCAGCCACTCATCAACGTTCAGTGATAGAGTGGCTGCATTTAAAAATGTACCGCTTTCTCTAACCCAAAATTAAACAAGGTTCCCTGAACATCCAACATCTTCACCAATAGCTATTTACAATATACAAATCTAAGCTACAAATCCAAAGAAAAAGAAGCAGGAGGGAAACTATACACATACTCTAAATATCAATCATTAAAATAAGTCAAAGAGTAGATAGTGTTGTCGTCAAAATGAATTTTAAATTAAATGAAGTCTAGAGCCCACAATTCAAACATCCCTGTCCTATAGCAACTCTGGTAACTAAGCTGAACTTTTGCAAATATTAACATTTCTGACTTAAGAAAGATCCTTATCTGTGTAATTTATAAAATAATCACATAACTTTTCTAGAACAGAGAAAATGTTAAATTTCTGCCACCATCTTTTTTCTTTTAAAGCAACTTATGTTTTAAATGCCCAGTGGCTCAGTGGATAGAGTCTGCCGACCAACGCAGGAGACACAGGAGATGCAGGTTTGATCCCTGCACTGGGAAGATCCCCTGGAGTAGGAAACGGCAACCCACTCCAGCATTCTTGCCTGAAACATCCCAAGGACAGAGGAGCCTGGCAAACTATGGTCCATGAGGTCGCCAAGTGTCAGACATGACTGAGTGACTAAACACACACACAGCATGTATTGTAAATCATTAATATACTTCTTTGTAGGAAAAACTGAAGTAAAACACGTTACTAAATGACAAGGTAATACGACTCCAATCCTCTATCAAGATAAGACTGTATGACTGTGCCTTTCAATGGCACAATGACATCTACAGGACACTAAGAGCTAGGGAGACGCTTAAGAAAATGGGACTGAACAGTGTTTCCTTCACAGGCGAGGAGGGACAGGGCATGAGGCAAGCGCCAGAGCTACATTAGAGAGGGGCTGTGATTTAAATCCAGGTCTTCTGAACCTCAACGTTCAGTGTCGCACTCAATTCTATTCAAGGCTCCGTTAACAAAAGTGGTAAAGAGCAAATAGGAAGAATGTTTTGGACTTGTAAAAACAGATTACCAGTGTGGATAACAAATCCTCAAATGTTAACTCAGAGTTCTAGCAAGAGAGAGATGACACATTAACCTGGGTAATCCAGGGGAGCTAAAAGATATAATTCACAAACAACAGGGAAGGGCGTAAAAAGGCGCCAAGGGATAATACACACATACCCCTAGACATGAAGGGATACAGCCAAGGGGAAGAAGAAGGTTCTAGAACCACAAGAGAGAGCCGTACGGGGAGGACTACCCATTCAAATAGAGGAGACCAGGACAACATGGTAGGGAGAAAGCTGAAAGAATAAACACCCAGATCATAATTTCCTCCCCTCATCAGCCCCTCCACGGGCTGACGCCAAAAAGAAGCCACAAGTAAGAAAGTCACCGATCCAGTTCACACACGCAGGTCAGGCTCCCATGGCAAATCAGGCTGGAGAAGAGTGAAGGGAGAGGGAATCTTAACTGGCAAATAGAAAATGGCCAGCAAATCACTGTTCTAGGACTCAGAGCTAACAATGCATGATTCTACTTAAATGTATTCTTATATAAGAGATCATTCACACTTACACAATTCAGTGAATTTAAAAAGTAGTAATTTGATAAATCTAGACATACCAAGGAAGATTACAACAGCTTCTGAATAAAGGCAACACTGACAATCCTATACTTAAAGAAGAATTTTCACAAGATGATTATAATTCTAACTCTTACTTCTGCAAGACATGCACACTTGAAAAATGTAAAGGTCTGCTTCATGATGAAACATTATGTGTTCCTGGAAAATTATTATTTGTATTCTACTTTAAATATTATATTCCTCATGGACTGACATTTGGAACTGAGCATAAATTAATACAATAGATATAGTAAAAAGGGACAAAAGGATAACATCTTTTAGTGGAAAAAAGAGCAAAATGCATCACAGGACACAATTGTTTCTATTATTTAAAACATGAACTTCCTTTGACAATTCTACATGTCATGAAGGATAACTACATGCAATGAAGTACATATGTCTATATGTAGTGAAGAGCAAAACTGTGTTAACTACGTACTCTTTTTTGAAATGTAAAGCTTTAAAAAAACAATTAATCATAGGTTGTTTTGGAACTTAGGTTGCTTATTCAACCAAAAGCTTGAATCTTAATTTAGCAGAACTTTCAATATAGAGGGGGCTTCCCTGATGGCTCACAGTAAAGAATCTGCCTGCAATGTGGGAATAATATATTGCTGACGTTTTAATAATTAAGACACGTTAAAAAGGCCTGACTGACGAATTGTTGTTTGGGTCCGTATTAGATGAGTTTCCATTCCTTGTACATCTCCCAGTAAGAAAGCAGGAAGCAGTCTGTACGTTTCCCAGTAAGAAAGAAGGAAGGAGCCAAAAACAAGTGGAGAATAAGTGAAAATCATACAAAAACATGCCAGGTGATCCAGGTAACTCCAGACTAACTGAACCAAGGGACAACGCAATACATTTGGGAGAAAATAACTGCATACTGGTAAGAATGCCTTCTCCAGCTCCTTGGAAATCTACCGGCCTAAAAGATAGGACAAGAAGCTTACCACCACGGCAAGGCCAGTACTGTAGACACCAGCATGCTTTATGACACAGTCTGAAGACTTCATCATGCACTTTGTTTTCCCTAGCAAAGAAATGAATTTTCACTATTAGTCTTACAAAGTGGTCCATGTAAACATTCACTAATTCCTCTTTTTATCTAGCCCAAGTTCCTATGGAAATAGTTTGAAAATACAGACTAGCACTGTTTACTGCTTACATAACTGAAAAAAGAAAATGGATATTAACTGAGATCTCAACAGAGTCTGATGTTTTCAGATTAGGAATTTATATACTACTTCATGTTTGCAGTAAAATCAGAAATTAAAGGTTATGCTTTCTTATCTAATGATCACCAGAACAGTTTAAAACCTTGTGAATTTTCAGATGAATAAAGAGATTTCAAAGTGATATGCACATTTTATAATTCACAATAAAGGCAGTCTGATTCGAAGGGACTGCTTCTTTCCATAGAACATTCTCAAACCAAATATAAAATAATAACTATGCAAATTACCTAGTTCATTTTTTATGTTTATCCACAGTTAAAAATTTATAAACATAGCTCCCAGGTAAGCATTCTTCCAAAATAACTGTCAAATAGTGCCCAAGGGAGAACAAAAACTCAAGAACACAGTGATAAAGCAAAAAATCACAATACAGCCACAAGAACTCTGATCTAGCAGCAAATTAGCAATCTGAAACACCATCAGGAAATTCATTTATCACATGCCACGAGAGGATTAATGGTGACATACTAATCACACATCTCAGACACCACAAAGTGGAACATGGAAGAAACAGAAGACTCTCGATTTTCCATTACCCTGATTACCTAGGAAACCAAGCTGGACAACAGGAAACTGGAAGAAAGAGAAACTGGAAATGAGAGGCAGCAGCGCCCCAACTGTTCCCTGCCCAACACTAAGGGCAAGAACTAGTGAGCAGGAGACGGACGCTGAAGACAAGCGAAGGGCCTCGCCAGAGTGTAGCTCCGTCTTCTCCACAATCTATTATATTTTTGCATTCTACATCCATTTGTCTTTATGAATAAAGATATAAAACCAGCAGATGATGGGTTTATCTAGGTTAGTGTTCTCTTTTCCATGAATTACAGACTTCAAAGACGTCTTTGGAAGCTGGAACTACACCGGAAATATTCAGGGGTGTGGCCCTAAGCCTTCCTAACTTTCTGCAATGTTATCATGCATAAACACATTTAAATGAACATATCTCAAACTGTGTTTCACCTGAAATTAACATCCCATAACCAAAGGGGAACCTGTGTTTAAACAAAAGTTTGGGGGATGGTTCTGGAGTGAATACAATTAATCAGGCTTCCTTACTGGAGGTCTTCAGAATCTTAAACACATACACATGTAACAGAATTCTCCCAGATGGCAGTGAGGGGAACATACAGTATGTCTCAAATGTATGCACTGCTTGAAGAAATACCTATTAATATGGCAAGTGTTCTGTGGAAGACTATTTGGGAAACATCAATCTTGTTGTTCTATGAACTACTATATAGTTTTACTCTGAACAATCATTCACTCTGAATAAAAATGCATTAAGTACATGGCTTAGGAACTCTATTCCACTTACTTGGGAATACATGTGAGGAAACTCAAGAATCATACACTGAGAACCAAATAAGAAAACAAGTGATCATAAAAACCAGCACCAGGTGAATGTTCAATAAAATTATGTTCAATGGTCTAACCAACATACTGCAGGCAGTACCAGCAAGAATCAGGTTAGAAGTCCAATGCACTATCCATCAATCAAGTTAGAAAAGTAAACAAAAGATATCAACAAGACTAGAACAGCATAAAGAAAAGTTTAGGATCACTAAATCTTATCAGTCTGAAATTTAATCGTTTCATGTTTAAAACAACATACATGGTACCTAAACTGTATCTTAATTACTTTTCCAGTGTGACATCAGAGATAAAAACCAAGATGTGATAGTTTTCTGGGAGGCCAAATAACATTTTATATTATCTTATTAACAGTAAGCATAACATTACTGTAAATGATAATGATGAACCCACAGGTTCAAACTAAATAAATACCAAATAAATTCTGAGTAAAAGAAAAGGCATGCGTTTTCACCATACACTTACCACACTGTGCACAAATTGGTACCTTCTGTACAGAATTACAAAAGTAGCAGAAAGCTCTATTCTTCTGCCGCCTTGTCATGTAAAAGAAAAGTTTTAAATACAGTCAATACCAGATAAAAGGTCCGTCTATTATTACATATAGATAGAAAAAAGATAGAAAAACAAATAATTTACCTCTGACACTTGTCACATTCCTGTAAAATATAAAAACATAATATTAATCTTTCTACCGGATGAAAACTGCAAAGTTACTTGCATTATAAAGAATATCCTATTTTTCATGTTAAAATGTAAGTGACACTTGCTCAAAAGCCCATGTATACCAGCATCTACACATACTTTAACAACAAAGGTATGCTATTGGGCATACCACACTAGAGAAAGAAGTGGAATTTTCACAAAAGAGGCTAAAAACAGTAGTGGTCTGTTTTTTGAATTTTTTTAAGGAATCAGAAAAATAATACAGAATGGTACAAGAAACAGTAGGGAACACAGTATGCTGAAGCTCACAGAAAATCCAGGATTCTGAATGTGGCACTAAGAACTGCACAATCTGGCCTCTGGTCACTTTTCAAACCTCGTTGGCCTATTCTCTTTAGATTCAAGTCACTATTTGCCAGTTGTTCTCAAACTATGTCTTGTATTCTTTCTTTTCCATGTCTTACTTATTCTAATACGTCTCCCTGAAAGTACCTCCACACTCCTTTACTTGCTGCAAGCTCTGGTGATGATCCCACCTCCTCTATGAGCTGAACCCCAGCCCCACATTCATCTTTTACCAACTTTTAGTCCTTGTATACCTTAGTCCCAATTGTACCTTTTCTGCAGCACTTACCAAAGTCTAGCCCTCACTGCATCTATTTATGGATGAGTCATTTCTTCTTTTGTCTTCCTTCTCTTCTCTAGAAATGACCCTGGCACAGAGAAAGGAGTGCCCACTGTCCTATTTATATTATGTAACCCTGCTCCTCCTCACCCCCCAACCCAGTCATAAATGTTGGTTAACCCAGGGATGGCACCCACCCAAGACCAACCTATCAGAGCTCTTTCCCTCTTTTAGGACAATATGTGATGTAACATGCAAGCTATAAACCCAGTGGTTATGAACCCAAATGAAATAAAACAATCTGAGAAAATGGAACTAGATAAAAGAAAGGGACAGAACTAGAAGCTGTTCCAGGTTCCAGCTGTTCCTGCATCCCAGCCACATCCTTGTCTTTCCATTATTCATTCAATCAACTCTATTTCTCCCTGAAGTTACTTAACTTGGCTTTCTGTCATTTATAAACATTAGGTAATACAGAAAACAACTGAGCCCTCAGCTTGTGGAAACAGAGACTGTGTCATTCATCTATGTATCCTCCATAATGCCTAAAATAGCACAGAGCCTGTACACAATAAACATTTGAGGAATTAAGTCATATTAAGCATTTCATAAATGTTTGATGAAACAAAAGTACACATAAAAAGGAATGGGAAGAGAAAAAGTAGAGAGGTGTGCAAATCTGAGTTTTGGGACAACGCAGAGAAAACATGGTCCGAGGAAGCGATGAGGTAATGATGACATATGGGGAAAAGGTTCCGATTAATAGGATAAATTGAGGAAGGCTTACTAGGTTACAGAGGCTGGAAAATGTCACACAGTTCCTAGTATGTATTCTTGATCAATACAATAGTAGCCAAGATAATATGACAGGTTTTATGAACAAAATCAAACAAAACTCAACTGCTATTCGGTGTTAATGAAAACAACAGACATGCCTTTAACACAGATTTACATAGTTTTTCAACTGAGAATCAAAAAACCCATTACCATTGACGCATTGCATGGATGTTTAGCTAAATCTATGGTGCTTCTTGATGCTCTTAGCTGTTTTTCACGTTCCCGGCGGTTCTCTGCCTTCTTCCTTGCACCAGTCTTTTTTTTAGGCATTTTCCCTTCTTTCTACACAAGCAAGCAGAGAAGATATAATTGCCTTGTTGTGTTTGCTATTTTAAAGAAACTAAGGAGCAGCAGAATGAAATGTTTTAATTCTCATTAAATTTTAAACTCAGCTCTGCCATTTTGATCGTTAAGCACATTTTAAGCCTTTATGAAACATGAAGCATACATCATTCCAAATAAAATAGATGGCTTTAAAAAAACAAAGCACTTACTTGTATTATCAAATAGTTCTAAAACATGTACACGCCAAAAGATTTATCCTAACAGCCAAAATGGTTTTCTTTCCCACAGAGAAGCTTCTATGTTAAATAATATCCTTTAAAAATTACTCTGTACCAAGTAAACAAATTAGGAATGTATCATTTAAAAGTAATTATTTACCCAGTTTATTTCACTTTTTAAGCTATATATTCAGATAACCTGATGCTGCCACGACTTCAACTATGTCTAATTTCTCCCACATAATGCCTAGATAAAATATCCAACAGTCATGTCACATGACATCAACTACAAAGACAAACTATCCTTTCTGAAAAAATATTAAAGGCATCTGAATCAATTTGACTCCTTGAAAGCTGCCTTTCCTTACACTTTTACCTGCAGTGAGCATGTAATTTAAACTTCATACTTAAGAGTATGTGCTTACCACACATCAAAATAAGGACTTTAAAACTGGCTTTTATCAGGTAGTTGAAGGAACCACAATAGTTAGAAAAAACAAGATTTTGACAAATAACACATTTTTATTTGGCTTTTCATCCCATCGGAATACCACAAGTTCCCTGAAAATTCCAGTTCTATCTTTCTTGACAAGGTTTGCCTCCCAGCCCTTTGAGCACAAATTAAGCACTTAATAAATGGAAAGATACACAAAAAAGTCCACATGCTTGCTTTGAAAGAGAAACTTAAACTTCCTAGTATTCTTCAAACTACATACACTTTTTAAAAACCGTCTTTCCTAAGAGTGGTTCTCAAAAATTATCTGGAAATCTATAAAAGTACAGACTGAGCCTTCTAGGCTCTATCCAAGATCTACAAATCCGAAACCTCCAAGCATGGTTTCAAGTTTCATGGCGACTGACACACAACCTCCATGAAGGAAAAAATATTCAAAGAAAGCGGAGTCGTGTCCGTGATACAGGGAGAGAGTTCTAAGAAAGCACACTTCGACATTTCCATTTCTCATTACAGTACCGCAAAAATCACACACCAGCTTGTGCTTGGAACAGGACTAAAGTCATTCAAAGTTTTTCTACTCTTTGGGTTTCAACTCTAACGCTGGAATGCCCAATCAATAAATCATGTGGTGGTTAGTTGCGCCTTAAAAACATCGACAAACCAGGCCAAGAGGTTTAGTGGGTGGTGATGTGGAGCAACATCCAAGTCCACTAGGTCACCCTTCCAATATTTAAAGCGACAAGACACAGAGTGAAAAAAGGTGTACTGCCCTCCCCAAATGAGCTCCGAAAATAATCACAGGGTGTTCACTGGGTGAAATTTTCTGCGTCCATAGGGGTGAATCCGCTGGGAAAGTTGAGCCTCATTTTTCCCCCTCCAGGTTGTTTTCTAAACTTAAAAACTGAATTCTGTTCTCGGCTTTATACGGTATTAAGCCCTTCTCCAGGAAGGTTCCCACTTCTTCAGGACGTGGCCCGTGGCGTGAAATGAAGAAACAGGCCCCAGGGGGTCACTGCGGCTTGGGAGGCAAAGCCTGCAGCAGGACTGGAGGTGCGGGGGGCGTCCAGGGGAGACGAGGCAGCGGTGCCACGCGGCGGGGGAAACCGACGGCCGTCCCCGCCCGCGGGGCACCCTCCCTCGCGCGCGCTCCGGGCGGACCTCGCTCACCCTCACGGGGAGGCCGGACTCACTCCGGGGGCCGGGGGGCAGGAAAGGGCGTGAAGCTGGCCCGAGGCGGCAGCAGTTCCAATGCGCGAACTACGGCTCTAGGAAAAAATGCTACTAAACCCGGAGAAACGCGGCCAGAAGCGCTTACAGATACTAGGAGCCGAACCGGACGTCCTCTGACGTCAGCAGCGTCCTTCCGGATGCACGTCGATAGAAGAGGGCCCGCCCACTTCTGTTCGCTCCGCCCTGTCCCTGCCCCTCCCGCGGGGGGCGGGGCTCCCAATGCCGTGCAGAGAACCTGGGAGGTGAGGAAAAAGGAGGGAACAGAAGGAGGAAAGTGGTTGGGAAGGGACCTATCAATTTTATGTTTTCAGAAAAAGAGAACGCTAAAGATGACACCACCCTTATGGCAGAAAGTGAAGAAGAACTAAAGAGCCTCTTGATGAAAGTGAAAGAGGAGAGTGAAAACGTTGGCTTAAAGCTCAACATTCAGAAAACTAAGATCATGGCATCCGGTCCCATCACCTCATGGCAAATAGATGGGGAAACAGTGAAAACAGTGGCTGACTTTATTTTTCTGTCCTCCAAAATCACTGCAGATGGTGATTGCAGCCATAAAATTAAAAGACGCTTACTCCTTGGAAGGAAAGTTATGACCAACCTAGACAGCATATTAAAATGCAGAGACCTTACTTTGCCAACAAAGGTCTGTCTAGTCAAGGCTATGGTTTTTCCAGTAGTCATGTATGGATGTGAGAGTTGGACCATAAAGAAAGCTGAGCACCGAAGAATTGATGCTATTGAAATGTGGTGTTGGAGAAAACTCTTGAGAGTCCCTTGGACTGCAAGGAGATCCAACCAGTCCATTCTAAAGGAAATAAGTCCTGGGTGTTCATTGGAAGGACTGATGCTGAAGCTGAAACTCCAATATTTTGGCCACCTGATGCGAAGAGCTGACTCATCGGAAAAGACCCTGATGCTGGGAAAGATTGAGGGCAGGAGGAGAAGGGGACGACAGAGGATGAGATGGTTGGATGGCATCACCGACTCAATGGACATGGGTTTGGGTAGACTCCGGGAGCTGGTGATGGACAGGGAGGCCTGGCGTGCTGCAGTTCATGGGGTCGCAAAGAGTCAGACACGACTGAGCAACTGAACTGAACTGAAAGGAAGAGAAAAGTCTAAAAGGAAAAAGAAACTCACAACCTGGCACTGGATCAGGCACAAACAGAAAATTCTTGCTTAATTCTTCAGGAAGCTTTTTTGTCCCCACACAACCATTTTACATGTTTGCTGCACAAACTGGACCTTTAGTTGTCAGTGAAGGTCTGTACTACCTTCCTTTGTCTGCTGCCACTGGCCTCTGGAATTCCAGTCTTTTGTGAACAAATTCTTCTACATTCTGGATCTCTAGTGTGCTCTTGCTGTCTTTAGCTGAGACGTAGCATCCTCTCCCTCCTAGAGGCTGCTTACTTTAAACTTTAAAGTGAAGATGGCTTATTTTTCCACACTTCCTTTATGTCTTGGTTAGGAGCTTAGGGTCTGTCCGTCCCCTACTCGGATAATCCCTCCTCCTTTTTATGTAGCCATGCCACTTTTTCTCCTTCCTTGTTGCTTTGTGTTACTCTCTCCTTACTGATGAAAATCTTTGGTTCCAACTTTGGCCGTCACCCGAAGTCACATGAACATCTAAATGAAAGGCTTGTCCTCTTGGGCTCTGGCTTTCATCTCCAGTAGCCATCCTCTCTGCTCCAGGACGGGCACTCACTGCCATGACTGTACCACAGGACTTGTCATCAGGTGGAACTACTGAAATCCAAAATTCAGATGTTTAACCATCCAACCGCCTATGTTGTCAACTCTCTCAATTGTCCCTAATGAAGACTTGGAATCACTTCATCCTTCTCTTTTCTCGGTAGCAATATATTTTCTTCCCCAGCTTTTAAAATACAGTTCATTTCACTCACAATTTTCCTTTTTTTTTTTTCCTGAGCTGGAACATGCCAAATTCTGTTAATTCAACAACTTGCCTTTTCTTTCCTACACTGAACTTCTGAGTGTTATTATAGAGGGGAAAAAAGTATGTAATCATGATTCTACTTTAAATCCAAAGTCACTGATGTTTTCAGGTCTCCCAAAATTGCCCTGCTAGCCTTCTATGTTTTCCTAATCAAGCCTACCATTCTCATTTTCCATGAGGACTTTCGAATCTCCCCTTTCATCAAACTTCTACCACTTCATCAATTTTAGCAAATATTATTGCTTCCTTTCACACAGAGAAAATAGAATAGTATTGGTAACAAGTAAACAATGCTGTTTCATGCTCTTGGCATTCTAATTACTTTATATATATATATCTTTAACTCCTAATTTTACACATGATGAAACTAGGTCAGAGAGACTGTGCAACTTGCTTCAGTATTATACAGATGATTTAGCTTGTAATGTTGTCTATTGTAGTAGTTTTAAAATTTTCTTAAATTTGGTCTCAGGACCCCTTAAAAACTCTTAATTAAATCTTGAGAATTTTAACAAACTTTTGTTTATGTGGATTATAGTCAATTGATATTTACCATACAAAAAAACTTGGATTTCCCAGGTGGCACTGGTGGTACAGAACCTGCCTGCCAATGGAGGAGACATGAGACCCAAGGTTCAATTCCTCAGTCAGGAAGATCCCCTGGAGGAGGACATGGCAATCCACTTCAGTATTCTTGTCTGGAGAATCCCCATGGACAGAGGAGCCTGGCAGGCTACAGTCCAAAGAGTCTCAAAGAGTCGAACGCACACATATATGAAAAATAAAACGTAAAATTTTAGCTGTTCATTTATTGGAAATTATCCTGATAAGTCTATCACATATTAGCATGAATAGCGTATTTCTATGAAAATAACCATATTTTCCCAAATATAAAACAGAGGAGAGTGGTACTGTTTTAAAATTTTGCAAATGTCTTTCTTATAAAGATTAATAGTGAAAGTGTCATGTCCAACTCTTTGCAATGCCATGGACTGTAGCCTACCAGGCTCCTCTGTCCCTGAGATTCTTCAGGCAAGAATACTGGAATGGGGTAGCCATTCTGTTTTCCAGGGGATCTTTCTGACCCAGGGATCAAATCCTGATCTCCTGCATCACAGGCAGA